TAGATTAAATTCCCACCCAACCCTGTCCCAATTCCCAAATTAATCTTGAGTTAGGTAAAAAATAACAAGCAAGCTCAGCACTGGTCCTGTTTACCAAATCATCTTCCAGCCAAACTGGTTGAATTAGTTATATCTTTTCTCTTAGTCTAGTTGAGGATGTCGTGTGTCCTTAGACTTCCAAACAAAACATGCCCACTCTTTCTGTGGTCTCCATTATAGCTGGAGTACCATTTCCAGGCCTCATTTACAGCATTCTCTTCTGGAACTTTCATTTGGCTGCCACACAGAAAGTCCTATGTTTCCTGCCAGCTGTCCTCTGGGTTCTCAAGTACCCCAGGTTCACCTACTAGAGAAAAGAATTTCAAAATGCCAGTGGCCCAAGCAGCTCTACCTGCCTCTCTGCCCTGATTCCCAGAGTAAGGTTTCAGCCATTAAGAACTGTTCTCTCTGAAACAGAGCCTTCAACACAGTGGTCTATCTGGTTGACCACTACTGGCCATGAAGCTTAGCCCCAGTGCCTGTCCCATCTTAGGGGATGGTTTCAAGTCTAGCTCCTTCCTTTTAGTCAAGAATTGAGGAATCATGAAGTGTTCTCTGACTCCATATGTTTGTATTAAGCTTCTTCATAATGATTTATTTGAGTTTTGATGTATTTGGTTTTGGCTGAACTCACATCTCCCTCTCCTGCTCCCTCTCCCTATGCCCTTGCAAGGAACAAGAACTACAAAATGGAGCCTTTTGTAAGGCTGTTGCACTCTGGAGCTTTCTTGAAGTGCTCTGAAATTTCTGGCAGAAATAAAACTTTTTTTAAAAATAGTTACAGCTTATGTTCCTCATAAATCCCCTTCTTCTGTGCCCTGAGAAATAGTTAATCAACTCTTACTTAGCTTGGAGTTCACCCAGATGCTCCTTAAGGGTTCTCTGTAGCCCCACTCTCAGAGGTGAAGCCACCACTGGATCCTAGTAGGGTGCCTAAACTCAATAATCTGATACGAGATAAGGCAACAAAGCTTCATAAACATTGTGTTTTCTTCCAACAGGGCACAAGGAAGATATTAAACCGAGTTCCCCCAAACAATCCCAAAAATCTACTTTTCCCAAAGTAAAGATAATGATAATCAGGATCTGTGGACTCTATAATGTGTCTTTATTTTGGTTTAAACTAATGACATTAGATTCTCTTCAACCTGGCAAAGAAGAGGTAGGTATACCTTAAACAAAAGAAAAAGAAAAAAATGGACCTAAAATCATGTGGGAACTAGATCATCATCACCATTATTCGAAAAAGAAAGGTTGTGGAATATTTCTGCAATTTCTTGGCCAGCTGGTCTTTTTCACCAGACGCATAAATCTTTTTCAAATATCAAAAGGTAGTAAAGCTATGCATGTAAAAGTCATAATAGTGATAGTAATTATAAGTATTATAAGGGTAAGAATAATTTATATGATTCTTACTGACTGTCAAGCACTTGCTAAGCACTTCATGCACATTAACTCTTCAAAATCTCAGAATGCTATGCTGTACATATGATAAGAAGGGAGAACTTTCTTAGTTTAGAAAACTGAATTGCAGAAAGGTTAAGAAACTTGATTAAAGCAAATTAGTAATGGGCAGAACAGAAATTTAAACCTAACTCATCTTTCATACCTATGAAGATGCAAATAACTCAACCAAGTACATTTGTGTATAATATATTTGCCCTCTTGATGAATACTGAACCATAGTTAGAGCACCTTCTACTTGTTTCATGAAAAAGCATTGACATTATATGTGACTTATGTGTTCTACTTTGAAACCACACTTTTTTACTCTAAACATTATTTGAATAAGAACTTGCTAATAATTTGAGCAGTTATTTCAAAATATTTATGTACTATTACCACATAGATGAATTACTCCAGCTTAGCATCCAATTTTTAAAATTTTCAAACTCATGTGTGCATGACTAATTTTACCTTTTAGAATTATGACAACATTCATTCATATGCTCTTCTCTTTTGATTTTTGTACTTTGGTAGTTTTGGAAACATGATAAGATAGTTTGTAGTATAACTAATAGCTTCGTACACATAGCATATCTATACTCTTTCCACTTTTCCTCTAAACATCACCTTATCACAGTTTGTTCTTTATCCCCTGTCCACTTGCCATTATTTCCATCCAATGAAACTTATTTTTCTTCTCTCATCTTTGAATTTCCTTCCCTCCCTACCAGCATGAGAGTTACTTGAAAGCTCTTTGATCAGAATAAAAATTCCAATTATTTGATTCTTCCATTTATTTGGATTATAAGGACATACAGGGGTATATTTTGCAAAACAGTCTTGTCATCCTTGGCAGAAGATATGTCACTCTATTATAGCTTTGCCACGTGTCCATAGAGAAAGGTCATCTTATTTTAAACACATGTTCATATGCAACATGTGTAACAGAGACGTGAATTCTAAGGACACTGCAGAAAGCATAGCTGACTAGGGATTCTAGCACCTTCAGGATGTGTCTCCTCTTAGTTGTGACCACTGTAATGCACTTCATAAAGTAATAAATTGTTCTTGCCCTAGGATCAGGATTCCCATCTCTTCACTACAACATGTCTAGATGTAAGACATGTTTGCCCTTGTAAAATCAGTGATCCCAGTCTAGATGTCAAATACTTGCTTGTTCTGTGTATTAACTGACTTCTTTTCCTGGACCTGCAGGCTCTATCAGATCCTTCCCCTAAAATTCATACATCCCGCCTTGTTGCTATCCATGCCCCAGCATGTCAATGTCAAAGTAGTTAAGAAAAAGGCTCCAACTATTTTAGTATCTTAAATTTTATCTTTTCATTCTACAAAGAATTTTTTAATAAAAAGTTAAAATTTAAAACAAATTGATACTATTCAGTAAAATGTTGTTATAGATTCCAAGCAACTGTCTCTTTTATAGGCAACATAATTACAAGTGAAATACAAATGCAGACTTTATGACTCTAATTAAACTCTAGGCCACAACCCATTAAAAACAGAGTATACGCATTAAGTTAGGTGTAAGAAAAAATAAATATGAATAAATATGCCACATAATGAGGCATAAGTTAATATGCCTCAAAATAAATGAGGAGAAACAATTTCAGATAATACATATATTTATGTAAAATTTTTATCAACATAACCTAAAATACTTTCTTTAATTTCATCAGAGATAAAATTTTTACACTTAATTTTCATATACATATACATCATACTTTCTCTCACTTACTTCATTACTTCATTCTACCCCAAGAACATCTTTGCAAGTATTTCCCAAGTGTGAGAGACTGGAGGAGGTTCTATATTTTGGTTGTAAGAATATATATTAATTTTTAGAACATTATAATTAAACTCAGAAATATTTAATTGTAGGGATTTTATTTCTTACGAATCAAATAAAATGACTAAAAATTAACTTGAGGCAAAACGAAATTTCAACATCATTGTAAAACTAATTAAGAGAGCAGATCTTTAAAAAAAAATGTAGCCGGGCGCGGTGGCTCACGCCTGTAATCCCAGCACTCTGGGAGGCCGAGGCGGGCGGATCACAAGGTCAGGAGATCGAGATCATCCTGGCTAACAGGGTGAAACCCCGTCTCTACTAAAAATACAAAAATTAGCTGGGCTTGGTGGCGGGCGCCTGTAGTCCCAGCTACTCGGGAGGCTGAGGCAGGAGAAAGGCGTGAACCCGGGAGGCGGAGCTTGCAGTGAGCCGAGATAGCGCCACAGCACTCCAGCCTGGGCGACAGAGCGAGACTCGGTCTAAAAAAAAAAAAAAAATGTAGTACATGATGGTTACACCTCGGTTTCCACACTTGGGAGACTCATTAACCACGTAAGTGTTTTCCCCGAAGTTTGTAAATGCTTAAAGATTGGGTTACATTATGAAAAGGACCTGTTGAATATTGTGTCTGTAAGGTTCAATTCTACCTAGTCCTCACTGCCATCTTTCATATCTTCTCTAGTGAAGAATGAAGAAATGAGAATTATGTGTTTGAATCTAGCACCTCTGATGTGGAAAAACACATGGTGAAGCAGAGGAAAGAAAACTGAAGGAAAGTGAAAATATCCTCAGGAATACCTTGGGAGAAACAAACAGCATTTCAAATGAAAGATTAAGAACAAATTCAAACAAATGGATTTGCAGGTATTATGTAAAAGAAAATGAGATTATTTAGCACAGGTACTCTAAGAATTTGAGAAGTTCCTCATGTTTATGGGAGAAGGTAACATGGCTGATAGGAACATTTAAAGGTGATACAGAAAGGAAATTCTCATCAGGAGGCCTATAGAACACACATGGGCAACAGCAAGCTCCCCTTGCCCTGCCTGGATCCATACAGAGGAAAGGAGAGGTAAAGATGAAAGAAAGAGGTTGAATAGAAGATATTAAATGCTTGAAAAATAATTTTAAAATAGTTACACTTCTGAGAAGATTTTCCATGTCTGGGTATAAGACACGGAGATACATCATACTGATCAACCTGAAGTAATCTACTTACTGAAATACCCACTTCTAGTTTATCTAGTTCACGCAAGGTTTCACAAAGCCACCAATGGTCTTATAAAAGCTTTCTAATTGAAATAGTCTTAAGTATCACATTTTACTAGTGGCAGGTATCTTCAAAAAAAATACAAGCTAAGCAACTTGTCCTCTGTTATTTCCTACCACTAAGTTTGCATTAGAAGAGGCTGGCAGTCAAATACACAAGAAGAACCACAAGTGTTGGCAATTTAACAGAAACAAATGGTAGTGTGTCATGGACCCCTAAGGCTTGTTGGACTAAATCATACCCTCTTCTAGTAAGTCCTGAAAAGTATTTAAAACATATGTTGAAGAAAATAGCTTTTAGAGGGGCAGATAACAGACGTTGGACTTAGAAATTAGAAAAATCCATTGTGCATTCTTTTGGCTTCTAGTTCTACTCAGTGTTTTGCTATGAGCTATGATTTGTTTGTGGAAGTAAAGTAAAGGCAGCCTATCTTACCGCCTCCACTTCGGCTGGGTCATACCAGACGTTGATGTAGGGATGCTGTAAGGCGTCGTCCACTGATATTCTTTTTGCTGGGTCAATCACTAGCATCTTTGACAACAAGTCCCTGGCTTGGCTGGCTGAAACAATAAATGAGAGAAACAACTAGTAAGATTTTGATTTCAGTAAGGAAATTTGTTGGACAGAGAGGAAATTAAGAAAATAAAGTATGGGATAGTATCTTCCTTCCAAACATCAGGTAAATCCCTTGATGTGATGGAAAAGAAAATGCATTTTACACCTGTTTCTTTGGGTCTCTAAGCCTAAGGCTTCATTCTGAGGCTCTCTAAGGGTTATAACACTTTGAGTATATAATTATTCACTCAAACTTCTAAGTAAAATGTATCAACCTGGGGAGTTTATGTAAGCAAAATCATCTTCTTTGGTAACCTGTATGAATATGGGATAAACAGCATAAAGAGCACAGAGTGCAAATGCATGATATTCAACAAATGTCTGGACAGCTGTTTGAAGTTAATCAACACATGTGTCTTTATAGTCTCATTCATACAATGGAATTATCAGGATTTTAGTATACAAATTGACTTAAGAGCTTGTATCATACAAATTTCTTTTCTTTTTCTTTTTGTTTGTTTGTTTGTTTGTTTGTTTATGTATGTATTTTTGAGACAGGGTATCCCTCTGTTGCCAGGCTGGAGTGCAGTAGAATGATCACAGCTCACTGCAGCCTGTAACTCCTGGGCTCAAAGGATCCTCCCATCTCAGCTTCCTGAGTAACTGGAACTACAGGCATGCACCACCATGCCCGGCTATTTTTTCTTATTTTTTGTAAATATAAGGTCTCCCTACATTGCCCAAGCTGATCTCGAGCTCTGGGTTCAAAGGATCCTCCCACCTCAGCCTCCTAAAATGCTGGGATTAAAGGAATGAGCCACTGCTCCCAGCCACAAATTTCTTATATACATAAAAACAACCAAAGAATTGATGTGATAGAAAAAATACCATTCAATTACTGAATTTTATTTTAACATTCTGTAATCATCAGGTATTTTTAATCCATGGAATTAAATAAAAGGAAGTCATGACTTGATGAAATCCAGCAGCTAAAGACTGAAGCCAGTCTAATGCTACACCAGACACTAATGAAAAACTCTATATTATGTAAATGCTATCATAATTAATTTTATGGTTGTGGGCAGTAACAGTTATAAAATTATATGGTGATAGCATATTTATTTAATAACATTGTTAAAAGACACATTAATTTTAACCTCTAAAAACATGTACATTTTTTATTATTATACTTTAAGTTTAAACATGCACATAGTTATACATAGGTATACACATGTTACATAGGTATACACGTGCCACGGTGGTTTGCTGCACCCATCAACCTGTCATCTACATTAGGTATTTCTCCTAATACTATCCCTCCCCCAGGCTTTTACAAAAAGTTTTAACAGAAATGAATATCTCAAATCAATATTGTTACTCAACTGATTTGAAAGTTGAATGGTGAAAATATTCAGTTTATTCTAAATATATGGTAAAACATCAAATTAAAGAGAACAAAATTTAAATGGATTTTTCAAAAAATCAACTTAGATGACTGTGGATATGTATCAATTTTTATTTAATCAGTTTTTCAGATTAAGACAATTTGACTAATTCTACAAATTTGAAAATTACATAAAATATAAAAATCAGGAAATAATATCTAACCCCACTAGTTAGAGGCAATGACTGTGATTATTGGCATATTTTTTCTAGTGCTGTTCATGTATTTTTCACATATTAACCATACTACAGTTAAAATGTAGTAATTAATATTTTACCTGTAGGTATTTTCTTTTAGTAATTACATGAATAAATATATCTTTTAATTTTCTGAACAAATATGAAAAATCACTAGTTAAATCAACCTTAAGAACTTTTTATTTCTATTATCCATTTTTCTGGGAAACTCAATCCTAGAAACTTATTATCATTACTTTCAAATTAAAACTCTGAACTGCACAAGAACAACAAAAATACAGAAATACTTATACATTAATTCAATATTTAATTTTTCTCATTGCCAATGGCCTCCTAATAGCCTAACAGGGCTGTGTTTATTTATTCATTGCTTTAAAGATCTCTTTAATTTGTAACTGATTTTACATCCAAATTCATGTACCATTCTCATGGATTCTCTCATCAAATCTATCCATTTTTCTGCTCTTAGAAAGGGCTGGGGTTAGTCGGGTGTGGTGGTGGCTCACATCTGCAATCCCAGCACTTTGGGAGGCTGAGGCAGGCAGATCACGAGGTCAGGAGATTGAGACCATCCTGGCTACCACGGTGAAACCCCATCTCTACTAAAAATACAAAAATTAGCTGGGCTTGGTGGCGGGCGCCTGTAGTCCCAGCTACAGATCAGAGAGACTCTGTCTCGAAAAGAAAAAAAGAAAAGAAAGGACTGGGGTTAGAATGGGCTATTCATGAATAGGGTCATGAACTATACCAATACCAAATCATCTTGCTAAGAAACAATAATCAATACTATTTTTAGGAAACAATATGGAAAAATGTTTCAATGCTTTATCTTTCATTCTATCATTTGAAAGCAAATGTGTTATGCTCTTTTCCAAACACAGTAGAATACATTATTCTCTTTGGTTATTTGTATATTAAGATTATTTATAGATTTTCAATTTTATATTTAAAATTAAAATCAATAATCGAATATGCAAACTAGTTTATCATTTACAAAAATAATTGCAGAAATTCAAATTGATTTAAAAAGTAAACTCAAGAAAATTGGAATTACATTATGAAGTATATCTTAATAGCCTTTTTATTGTGATTTCATACAGTAGTTTAATGAGAACTTTGTTGTCTCTGTATTGCTGCCAGTGTCTTCAAAAGAAGGGATTACTTTTGCTTGATATCTCAATAGTATTACAAAGACATGATTTCTATAAGATCTTTAATTGGAGTATCAGCTCTTTTTCAATCTGGATATAGGCAATGTTGATCTTATCAGCAGTAGATTTAGAAATAATTTAGTCCATTGTCAGTAAGAGTCTATAGAGGCAATTGAAGGAAGAAATCCAACTGTGTAATATGTGTCAAGAGCACAGAAACAGTGTTGCACATTTAAAACCCATTAGATAAAAGTTTAGAGGATATGAAAACATCCTGGAAAACAGTGGCACCACATTTTAGCTTCCTCATCTCATTTAAGTCTTCCTTAGCTATACACATTAAGTTTGTAAGTTAAGTCTGCAGATAATTAATTGTCCACATAACATTTAGGGCTAAATTTAAAAAGCATGTATCTTAAGTTTTTCTTTTTTGATAATTTACAGGTACATTTTTAAATTATTATTTTATTATATTTAACAGTTACTGAGCATCCACAGTGAGCCAGGCACTGCTCTAAGTGTTTGACAAATTATTAAGTCAATTAATCCTCCCAATAGCCCTATAAGGTGGGTTTTCTCTACGTTCATTTGTTAAAACAAGGAAAGAAAAATTAGGTAACTTGCTCAGGGTCACACAGATTTTAAGGCATGGGGCAAATTTGAAACGAGGCGGGGGAAAACAGTCAGATTTATTTCAAAATAAGATTTTTAGGAGTGTTCTAAATTATAAGAATTTGAGTATTATTTATATTACACTTTATGCATTGCCAAATTTATTCCATGTCTCCAAATTAGACTGAGGCATTATTAAGTCAATTCTGTTGGTGAAGATATTTGTTACTCAAGTATATTAACTGCCAACAACATGACAGAAAAAAAGACTTATTAATGGAAGTGTTTATATTGAATAAAAATATGTACGTAAAATCTCATTCCCTATTTTAAAATGAAAAAATTTAAGCACTCCATAAATTATAGAAAAAGAAGTTCAGACACCTGCATCTCCAAGATTTTACAACTAAACCTTGCATTGAAAATATTTTCCAGGCAATAAAAAGGATTGGAACAATGATTTCAATGTATATTATGTTGGTTTTTTAGAGTTATATCTCAAAAAATAATTTTAAGATTCTATGTAACTCCCCGTGAAATACTTAGGGCACACCATTGTCACACATTTTATTCAATAACTTCTCTCTGAATATCCAGACAGTTCTTTTTTTCTTTCTTTTTTTTTTTTTTTTTTTTTGAGATGGAGTCTCCTCACTCTATCGCCAGGTTGGAGTGCAGTTGTGCGATCTCGGCTCACTGCAACCTCTGCCTCCCAGGTTCAAGCGACTCTCCTGCGTCAGCCTCCCGAGTAGCTGGGACTACAGGTGCACGCTACCACCTCCAGCTAATTTTTTTGTATTTTTAGGAGAGACAGGGTTTCACCATGTTGGCCAGGATGGTCTATCTCGATCTCCTGACCTCTTGATCCGCCCGCCTTGGCCTTCCGAAGTGCTGGGATTACAGACTTGAGCCACCGCGCCCTGCCCTGAATATCCAGACAATTCTAAAATCTGTGGCTACTCCCCTTTGTAGGAACGATCTTCGAAGAAGTATCTTTAACTTGAGGTTGTGCCAATTAAAGAATTGATCGATGTTTTAGGTGATGTGTTATGCTAATTGTTCTGATTTGACCATTATACCTCCATACACGTTTCAAAATAACCCCTAGATCCCACAAAAATGTACTATTATCATGTGTCAACTAAAAATAAAAGGAAAGAACGAGAAAGAGAGAGAGGTCTCTATACCGTGTGCTTGTTTGACCTGTCACCCTCATAGTCGTCCTCAAGTCATTCCTGAAGGGCATACCTTTGAGTTTATTGTGCTCAGAGTCCGCTGGGAAGAGGGAATCTGGGAAGAGCTTGGGGAAGGTGAGTCCCGCATACTTGGGCCGATTCTCCACATAGTTTCTTACTGTGGGTTGCAATTTCTTCATGAATTCTGGACATGGTGTTCCTAGTTGTTCAATTACCTTATTCCACTGGTCAATATCTGAGAATTGAACAGTTAAGGGAAAAAAGAAGTGCAGACCACTAGCCTTTCAACAATTGGGAGACTAATGCTTCTCAAAGTCCTGAACAGTCATTACTTAATGCAACTAGAGTTTTAATAAGCAACAAAGAATGAATATATAAAAGCAGATATGTCAGGCTATGAGTCTTCTTGAAATTTTAAATTCACTTTTGAAACTTATATACTTTTGGAAAACTAGCAGTTATTTAACAAAATAAGATATCATGAAATAGTCTTTAGGGTGTACAGATAAAAAGTCATTCAAATAACAAGATGAATCTCATATTCTGCAGATTAACTTCTATATAATCGTGTGTTTTAGAACATCATAGTGACATTTTTATTCTGAAGTTACCTCAAATATTTATATTTTTAAAATGATAAGTACACAAATATTTTAGATTACATTCATTTACATTTTCTTAAATTACCTTTAAGATATTTTTTCTTCTCTAAAAATCTGGAATTTTTTTCTATGCATTATGCATGTCAATATAACTTTTATAGTAAAACAACTCATTAGTTCTTTGTCAAATTCCTAAAAATCATATTTATTAAACAAAGAAGCCACCAATTTCATACCTATTGTTTTACTGCTGACATCACGGAATATTGTTTTCAATGAAATAAGAGGGTGAACAGAGGAATGTTCAATTTAAAACAACAGATTTCTATCCAAGTACATTCAAGTTTAGAAAGTACATTAAGCATGGGGAATACCACAGAAAAAATATTACCTCTCTATGAAAATTAATACCCTTTTAAATTGGAACTAGCTCTTTTGGCAGACATACTCAATGACTGAGATTCTCTTTTTCATCTGTCATTAATATTCAATATATCAGAGCCTCGATAATGATAAACACCATCTACTCTGAAGAACCAACTGGAAACGACTGATTCAAACAGATTTCCTCACATGTGTCAGTGAGTAATAGAGACCTTGGAAATTCCCCCTAAATCTAGTATGGCAAGCAGTATTCTCTCCTACATTGCTTATTCTTCTACAACTCTGTTCTTCGGTGTTAAGTTAGTTAATTCATTTCCACTAAGGTAAGGTGTGACAGTTAAGGGACTCTTACCATAATACTTAGTTGAAGTTTGTCAAGTCTTTACTCCTAGCTATTCAAGAGGTTTGGACTGAAGATTGTCAGTCCTGATTAAACATAAACTTAACTGTATTTAACAAAAATAAATATGTAATACACACACAGTAGATAAGAGATTGAACAAAGATAAATCAAACTAATGTGCAAATTCTCTTCTTCCTCCCTATAATCTGGCTGAATAAAACTTAAATTACTACATATCCTCTCAGTTATTGGAATAAAAAATATATAACTATGGACTACCAAGATATGAAATGAATGTGGGAAAAACAATAATACTCCTTTATAAAGCAGCAGCAATCATTAAACAAGAACATGCTTGGATAGAAGCTCATCTAATTATCATGTACATGAGAAAATACAGTGGCAATTCAGAATCCCTAGAAATAACGAAACTAAAACATTATATAAGGTTAGAGTTACAAATTACTCTTAGACAAGAGCCTGTGTTAATACTATGGATATAGGTAAGCTGTAAGTACTTAGACATATTTAAATAGAATACATTAGTGTAGTTAAATAAAACCTAAGTGCTTGTCATTATAAATTATGAAGAGACATTTTTTAACAGTTAGGTTAGCATGCCCTACCAAGTTATCATTTCATCATTGGTCAAACTTCCTCAAAATTCTAACCACTTGATGTCAAGCTTAAAATAGAGGCAAAGAAGATGTCAGATTTTCTGTAAATAAATCATTTAACAAAGTTGGCAAAATAATCCCAATACAGTATTATATCCTAATTACATTTGCTAGAATTATAAAGATATACTGTAAAGAATTGCTTTTAAAGAAGTATTCCCAAACAACAAAAAAAAAATTGATAATTTATATTAAAGTTTAAGGAGAATCAGATATTCTGGAATTTGTTAAATAAGAATTGTTAAAATGTTGCTTTTAATAAATCATAATTAGAGTCTAGAGACACACTCAGTGCTCTTTCCTACCTTAGGTTGCTTTTAAATGAAACACTGTTGTGATTCTTGATGCAATGGTTTACAAGGTGGCAAGAATCTTTATCATTGTCAATGAAATAGTTAAATGTTCATATTGCAAATCTGAGTTACAGTGATCTTTAAAAGTCTGTGTCTTTATTTTAACCAGTCCATTTCAAGATTTTTCTTCCCATAAACATATGTGTGTGTATCTACATATTTGTAGTACTTGTTTTCAGTTGTTCATAGAATATGAACATGAACAACTATGCCCAGTTTAGTTGAGCACATAATTTTTCTTTATAATAATAATTAACCTAACATAAGGCAAGACTGGAAGTCGTACCTCCTGTTTCCATGTTTAGTGCTTGTTTCAAGTATTCCATTAAGAAAAAAGAGTAAATTTGGAATTGATATGGTAAAAAATTGCTTTAATTTGGCCATAAAATTAACGGTGTGTTTCATCACAAGCAATTCCCTTAAAGAACATTTCTGAAGCCCCTTCCTTAGTCTATCAGGCTGACATATTCCTGTAAAACAATAAATTTTATTAATATTTTATATAGAAAATAAGGTGATCTTTTAAATGGGAAAACAGATTTCCACAATGATTACATTTTTAAAATACATAAAATATTAACTAGATTTTATGATTATGTATTAATTGTTAACATGGTAAATATGTTTTTAAAGAATTACCAAAACCATTTTTGTAGAATAATTTATTTGGTTTAGAATACCCATAAATGACCATTTTTATACCACATAGAGTGAGGATTTACAGATCTTAGCCCTGTGAAGTTATCAGAAAAGCAATAAGTATATTTGTTTTTATATTTTTGATGTACTGTTTTAGAAATTATCACCCTTAACATAAATTATGAAATGTATTGAATACAAATGGAAAAATGGCATTTAATAAGAATTATTTGACAGTAAATCACCGGATATAAGTCTAAATTGACTACATAAAAGTAGAGTTATATTGCAAGAAGTTCAATTTTATAAGTAGGGCATGATGTCAAGATAATGTACAAATGTGATTATTACTAAGGTCTTCAATAAATACTATTATAATAGGAGAATAAAACAAAGTAAATATGAATAGCAAAAATTAGTATCTGAAATCCTAAGATTGAAAATTTTTCCAATTAATATTATCAATTAGCTATTAACCTGCATTTCAAGCACTTCTCTTACTTTAGCTTCCTTTGTTAGGGAACTTTCTAAAACAATAATGCCTTAAACATAATGTATGAAAAGGTCAATTTTGGGGCCTCTCATTTGCACAGGCCCCTTTTAAGACTAATTCTTTTCTGCGTATTGTGGGTCATAATTATGAACATAATTTGTGCCATCCATATTTAAGCCTTCAGAAGTTACGAAGTGGAATCATAAGGAACTATTTAATGGCCTCATCCAGCTGTCTCCTTTGAATGACTATATCTTCTGTTTATGTTTTCTTCTATCATTGATTGCTTTTTGTTACTATGAATGTGATTTCCAGAGCTGACAACTCATAGTTTCTGACTTGCTTTCCACTCTGCTCTAGGCCTTATATCAATACTTTGTGCAGAAATTTTCTGACTTCTCTTTGCAATTTAAAGAACATCAGTGTTTATCTCTAAATTCTTAGCTGTGTTCCTAAAGACAATATTGCCTAATAGCAATGTCGGTATAGAACAGTTCCAGGAGAGGCTTTTATCATGCACGCCAAACAGCTCTTTAGGCACAATGTTGAGTAGGCTTGTGTGGCTTTATATTAGCTCCGTAGGAAAGACTTCTGTGATCAATTAGTAATGTCTGCAACAGATGCACAATAAGGAAACTGAAGCACATGCGCCATGTGTTAGGTGTCATTACATTAAACTGTGTTTCCCAAACTCAAATACTCGTAACGTAAAAACACATATCCCTCCTTCCTACTCATCTACAAGATTCTGAGTCCACAGGTCTGGGCTGATATCATAAAAAACATCAGTGGTAATTGTAATCAAGGATGGGATTATATTTTGAGAAATGCTCACGTAGAATATACGAAAAAGTCTCTTGTGAATTACTAAGTCTAGATGTTCTAAGAGTAAAATACTAACATGTTTCAGTTTTATGACATAAATTAGAATAGGATCAAATTCACCAAAAGATTATTCCACACCTGTTTGTTACTGAAAACTTGGGGGTCAATCACCTGAGAATACTCGGAGAAAGAAAAGTGCTAATGTTTACTTCTTTGACCCATGTAATTTTCCTGCAAAGGCCATGGGAAGTTATAGTAAGTGGCACACGTAGGCTCCCAGGAGAGGGAGAAGAATTCTGCCTCTCATCATCTGTGGGAGAACTGAAATTGTATGCTGCTATTACCTGGGGAGTACTACCCATGGAAAGTTCTAATTATAGTTCTTTGTGATTAAATTTGTTAAAAGAATTTTTTTCTAAAAACATTTACAAAGAAATACATATATATATATACACACACACACAAACATATGATAGAGTTCTGAATCTAGATTTTCATGGTTATGTTTCAAATTGTTTTATTTCTTTAAAAATGTTTTTAGGGGCAGGCAGAGAGGCTTATGCCTGTAATCCCAGCACTTTGGGAGGCCAAGGCAGGAGGATCACCTGAGGCTAGGAGTTTAAGACCAGCCTGACCAACATAGAGAAACCCCTTCTCTAGTAAAAATACAAAGTTAGCTGGGCATGGTGGTGCATGCTTGTAATCCCAGCTACTCAGGAGTCTGAGGCAAGAGAATCACTTGAACCCATGAGGCACAGGTTGCGGTGAGCAGAGGTAGCGCCATTGCACTCCAGCCTGGGTAACAATAGAGAAACTCTGTCCTCCCTCCCCCCAAAAAAAGAAAAAGAGAAGCATTTTTAGGGTATTTTATATTTAAAAATGTTCTTTTCCTCTCAAAAGTCCTTGTCAGATTCTGGTA